AAGCGAGAAATCACCCCCCAGGGGGGATGGTCACGCCGCAATCCCTTCTCCTCCATTCTCCTCTTGGGATCTTGGGCACGCACACACACGCGCCCGGCGTGAGTTTTAAGCCACCAGGTCTGGGACGCGAACCGCGGTCGATTATGTGGGAGTCCAGCGACATAGCCATAACGCTAACTGCTGGTTCCCTCAATAATAAATTTTAAAAATTATTTATTTATTATTATTTTTTTCATGAGTTTTTGCCAGAGAAAGAGAGAGGCAAGAGAGAAGCAAGCTGCAGGTCCAGGACTCGCACCGTGGTCAGCCATGTGGTAATTCCAGTGTCTTAACCACCATGCCACCTGCTAGCCCCAACCCAATAATAATGCTTTTAAAAATTAAATAAACACTTATTTTTTAAAAAAGAAATACATTAAAGGCAAAATTATTTTGTTGTTGTTTAGAGAGATTTTTGCCATAGGGCACGTGCATTTGCCAGATAGAGAGAAATAGGGAGACGGAAAGTGAGAAGTTACCCACAGAGGGGATGGCCACATCACAATCCCCTCTCCTCCAGTCTCCTCTTGGGGTTTGGGCATGCACACACATCTGTCCAGTGTGAGTGTTAAGCCACTGGGTCCAGGCCTCAAGCCATAGCCATCTACAATGGGAGTCCAGTAATGTAACCATTACGCTATCTGCTGGTCCCTCTTTAAGGCAAATTATATGGCAAATTAGTGATGTTTCTCAAAGTAAACATTTACAGAACCTTTAACCTCAGAATTCCACTCTTAATGCAACCTGAAGAAACCCTGCAGATACGCAGAGAGGTGTACGTGGGGCTTCTGTAACTCACTGACTAGGAAGACTGTGAACATATTTCATTTTAAAAAGTAAAAGCAAGTCCAGCAAATGGCATAATGGTTATGTTGCTGGACTCCCACATAATCGACCGCAGTTCAAGTCCCGGACCCGGTGGCTTAAACTCACACCGAGTGCGTGTGCGTGCCCAAGATCCCGAGAGGAGAATGGAGGAGAAGGGATTGCAGTGTGGCCATCCCCCCGGGGGGTGATTTCTCACTTTCTATCTCTCTGTCTGTCTGTCTGGCGAACGCACGTGCCCTATAGCAAAAACCTCTCAAAAAAAACACAAACCTTTCAGGTGACTGCATCTGTATGACTTTGTGTGTATGTTCACACATGAGCATGTATGTATTCGCATGTGCATGCGTGGAAAGGCAATCTGCAAGGACATACTCCCTGCCAATGGCCACGACCCCTAAGAGTGGGGCACAAGGAAAACCCCGGGGGCACTTCTACTTCCACTCCACAAACCGTGCTGCTCAGATCGTCTGCAGCGAGGAAGAAGAAATGAGCAGAGTGTTATTAAGAGGCAGAGATGCCACACGCATGCCTTCTTTGTGCATTCACTCTTCGGGCTCTACCTGCAGAGAACAGTTTCAGGTGCACAAAGGGGGGCCGTCGCCCTGGGGCTGAGGCAGTGTGCCCCATGACCTCTGTGAAACACTAAGCCACAGAAATGGACCAGCCACTCAGACCACGGGAGGAGCATCAGCAGCAAAGACGTGCACTGAGCAGCTCCCGAGCCACATCCCGATCAACAGCTGCACTGAGGGTTCGCAGCCCCAATCCCAGAGGGCCTGACCCAGTCCTGGCTGGTGTCCCGAACCCGGGCCCGAAGAGCAGGCAGGTGTGAGAAGCTGCGGTACCTTGCATGAGCACCTCCATGGATGGCCCCCCCGCCTCTCTTCCAGCTCGCTGTCGGACTCGTCGTCCTCCTGGATGTCTATGTCTGAGTCCTCGTTACCTGCCAGGGACACAAGTGGGCAAAACAAGAGAGCGGCTCCGTCACCGCGCCGGAACCCTTCTGCACAGCGAGGCTCGTGGCAAACGTGGTCCGCACCCCCGGCCTGCCTTCTGATGCCTTAGAGGCCAGGAGGTGCTCGACTGCCGTGGATCTCAGGGAGGGCTCATGCAGACAATGATGGACTGCTTCTTTTAACAACTTCCCAAAGCGAGCAGCAAGCAGCAGACGTGGTTAGAGACACGGTTATGGTCCGTGACTTTTCAAACAGCCAGGGTCAAGGTTGTTGGGAGTTCTTGACAAGTTCAGGGGAAAAACACTTTCTGTTCAGTGTCAGGCTGTGTTGCCACTGGTCTTACCAAAGGGGAGGAGCTGCTGGAAGGTAAAAAGACTGGAGGCTGCAGGGGGCCAGGTGGGAGCAGCCGGGCTGGGAGCGGAGCTATTCTCAGAAAGACAGCCACGTAAATTGGTGCACGGGATATTCTTCACAGTGGAAAGTTCCAGGATAAAGAAATATAAATAAATAAATATATATATATATATACACACACACATATAAAAATAAATATATGTATATAAGAAAAAACTATATATTTTGGAGAGGTTTTTGCTATAGGGCATGTGTGCTCACCAGAAAGATAGAGAGATAGACAGAGAGACAGAAAGTGAGAAATCGCCCCCCAGGGGGGATGGCCACGCAGCAATCCCTTCTCCTCCATTTTCCTCTCAGGATCTTGGGCACGCACGTACATGTGCCCTGTGTGAGTTTAAGCCACCGGGTCTGGGACTTGAACCACAGTCTACTACATGAGAGTCCAGCGACATAGCCATTACGCCAACTGCTGGTCTCAAGAAATACATATATTTTAGAAGGCCATTCTCAATCAACAGGCTGTTGTATTAATTTCTTTTCTTTTTTTAGAAAATAATTACTGATTTACTTATTCATTCATTTATATTCATTTGACCAGAGAGAGACACAGAGAGAGAAAGTGAGAAAGCAAGCCACCAGGTCCAGGACTTGAATTGTGGTGGGCCACGTGGGAGTGTCCAGCACCTTAACCACCATGCCACCTGCTGGTCCCTGTATTAATCCCCCACTCCCCACAGCAACTGTCAGAGGGCACATGAACTTGCCAGCCGGCCAGGAAGACACAGAAAGTGAGAGAGGGAGGAAGCACCCTCCTCGGGCGTGGTCACCCACAGTCCCTCTCCTTGGTTCCCCACCCTGTTGGGACTTTGCACACACGCAGGTGCACAGGGCGCTTCTCAAGCTGCTGAGTCTGTACTCTGGCCCAGCTGGCCATGTGGGATCCAGCTCCCTTCAGCACAGGCCACAGGGCTGGCCCTCCACTCACTCCTTATATGCCGTTTTGGAGTGTGTGCCCGCAGGGGGAGCATCTCCTAAGAGCCCGCAGGAGGAGCGGCCGCAGCGCAGACAAGAAGGTCGCAGCACCCGGCGCCTGCCTTCTCGCACCCAGGGAAGGACGCGGGAGGGGTCTGCACTTCTGCTCGGATTCCCGTCAGAGGTCAGTTTGGAAGTACAGGAACTGTCAGTCTACCAAGAGGCCTGGCTTTGTCCCCAACAGGAAAGCGTGACAAATGGCAACTGAGTCTAACTGGGCACAGGGCAGGTCTCCTGCTTCCCTCAGCCCTGGAGAGGGGCTGTGCTCCCAGTACGGAGGGGCAGCCCGGGGCCCAGGCGAGTGTCACTGTCAGCCCTCGTCCAGGCCCTTACGAGCCACACCAGGAACGGGGAAATCACTATCCAAGTCTTCGTTACAGTAAACCCCAAATCACTATCTGGCTCAGCTCATGTACTCACCCAATGACGTGAACTCCCTACACCAGCACTGCAAATCAAGTCGCACTGTGGATTTTATTTAAAATAAAATGGTATCTCTCGATCTCAACAAGAACTTCTAAAAACGCATACAATACAGACTGAGATCGGAGTGTGAAGACTGGAGTTAACTATTGTATTTCAAAAGTTTGAATGTGTCCCTCAAAAAGCCCGTGTTAGAAATGTAATCCCAGGAACCAGCAGTTAGTGTAATGGCTATGTTGCTGGACTCCCACGTAGTCGATCGCGGTTCGTGTCCCGGACCCGGTGGCTTAAAACACACCAGGCATGTGTGTGTGCGTGCCCAAGAGCACGAGAGGAGAGTGGAGGAGAAGGGATTGCGGCGTGACCAACCCCCCTGGGGGGGTGATTTCTCACTTTCTGTCTCTATGTCTCTGTCTGTCTGTCTGGCAAGTGCACGCGCCCTATAGCAAAAACCTCTCCAAACAAAAAAAAAGCAACAGTGCGGAGGCGGGGCTCCAGGGGAGGCCTGTGAGCCATGAGGGTCCCACCCTCAAGAATGGGTTAGCGACAATTACAAAGGAGCTTAAGGCTGTGAGTTTGATCTCTGACCTCTGTCACCCTTTGTCCCTCCCTCATGGGATGAAGCAGCAAGAAGGCCCTCACCAGCTGCTGGTCTCTCAATCTCAGGCTTGCTGGCCTCCAAACCTTCATCCACTACGTTTCTGTTCTTTGAAGGTTACCCAGTCTAGGGTACCCGCTGTAGCAGCACCGACAGACTGACACGCTAATGCACTGACGCTGAGACCACTGCATTATCAGTGATATGCTAAAACTACGCGTGGGCAAGACAAGGCGCTTGTAAAATTTAATACGCGAAGAATAGTCTTTTCAACAAATAGAGCTGGGAGAACTGGACGGCCACAAGCACAAGAATCAAGTCGGACTCTTACCTCATACAATATACGAAAACTAACCCAAACCGAGGCCTAAAGGTAGGCGCGGACCCTGTAAGACTCCTAGAAGAGAATGCAGGAGTAAATCTAGGTGACCTTGAACTAGGCAATGGTTTCTTAGCTATGACTGTAAAAGCAAAAGCAAAAACAACCAAAAAATAGATAAATAAGACTTAATTAAAACTTTCTGGAGACCAGCAGCTGGCATAATGGCTATGTCGTTGGACTCCCATGTAGTCGACTGCGATTTGAGTCCTAGACCCGGTGGCTTAAACTCACGCTGAGTACATATACACGCGTGCCCAAGATCCCGAGAGGAGAATGAAAGAGAAGGTTGTGCCGCCCCCCCCCCCCCCCCCCCCGGGGGAGGTGATTTCTCGCTTTCTGTCTCTCTGTGTCTTTCTGGTGTGCGCACGCGCCCTAGAGCAAAATCCTCTAAAAAAAAATAAAAATAAAAAGAAGCTTTCTGCAGCAGGCTGGCCCCATGGTCTACTGGTTAAAGAGCTGGGTCCTATACAGCCAACCATAAAGTTTGAATCCCAGCCCTGATGGCTTGAAAATATATACTGGAGGGGCCAGTAGGTGGTAAGGTGGCTGGAGCGCTGAACACCCACACAGCCAACTACAGTTCGAGTCCTGGACCTGGCGGCTTTCTTTCTCACTTTCCCTTTCTCTGTCTCTTTCTAGTCAAATTAAATAATGATAATGAATAAAATTAAATAAATAATTCCTTTTAAAATATTTATTTATTTAATTCGATTTGTTGTTGTTATTACTATTATTTTTAATTTGACCAGAGAGAGAGAGAGAAAGGGAAAGTGCGAAAGTACGCTGCTGGGGCTTGAACTGCAGTCAGCCATGTGGGGGTTCAACTACCACACCACCTGCTGGCCCCCATACATAATTCTCAAAAAAAAAATGCTGGATATACCCCAGGTCCTGACAGGGTAGAGAAGTGGGGGGCAGGAATTGTGGCATGACCATGCCCCATTGTGGGGTGCTTTCTCCCCCGTTTCTCTCTGCCTCTCCCTGGAGAGCACATGCACCCTCCGGTGACCGGACATACCTCTGTGTACCACGTGGGAGATCGCTCCTTGCGAGCTGAGGCTGGGGGAGGACTGTGGCATGACGACCCTGCTGGAGGCAACTGTCTATTTCCCTCCCACTTCCCATCACATGGATGAACTTAAAAAAAATTTGCTAAATCTACTCAGCCTGTGCTCTACAAAGTATGGCTATAGCATGGTTTACTGTTTGTAGCATGGTTTACTGAATTTTTTTTCTCAAGAATTATTTAACTTTATTTATTTATTTTAATTTGACCAGAGAGGGACAGAGAGAGGAGTGGGGGGAAGCGAGAAAGCAAGCTGCCAGATCCAGTACTTGAACCATGGTCGGCCACGTGGGAGTCCAATGCCCTTAACCACCACGCCACTTGCTAGCCATCAGCTTACTGACTATTTTAAAACCACTGTTGAAATCTACGGCTCAGAAAAAAAAAAAAAAAAAAGATTATTTTCAAAATATGACAGCTCACTGACAAGGGACCTGGAGAGGTACCAGGAAATGACTGTTCCCATGCTGCCTCATACAACGTCCCCGCTACAGCCCACAGGCCGAGGAGTCGCTTCAACTCTCAAGTATTATTATTATTTTCGTTTTGCTAAACGGCGCATGGGCTTGTAGAGGGAGAGAGACAGAGAGGAAAGGTGAGAAATCACCTCCTGGGGGCCTGGATATGCTGCAAACCCTTCTCTATTCTCCTCTTGGGATTTTGGGCATGTGCACACATGCACTCAGTATAATTTTCAAGGCACCAGGCTCAGGACTTGAACCGCAAAGTGAATCATGTGGGATCTAGCACCCTAACCTCCACATCACCTGCTAGCCCTTAAAGTAATAAATTTTTTAAAGAATATTGTATTTAACTTTACTTATTTATCCATTTCAATTTGACCAGAGAGGGATAGAGTGCGAGATTGAGAGGAAAAGTGAGAAAGCAAGCCGCCAGGTCTGGGACTCAAACAACAGGCAGCCATGTGGGAGTCTTGGGCCCTTAACCACCACACCACCTGCTAGCCCCAGTAATAATTTTTTTTTTCAAAGAATTTTAAAATTTAATT